ATATGTATATATAAAACATTTTTATTTTATAAAGTAATATTTTTCAAACACTTAATAAGTAATTTAGAAAATAAAAACTATAATACAAATAGGTCTGAGGGAGAAGATCCAGTATTTATTTTATCTGCGCATTTAATGTCACCTACAGCTGAGTTAGATTATTTGAGAAAAGTCAGTGAATTATGTATCTTATTCTTGTTACCACCTTGTTATTCCCTTACTCCAATAAAATATTTATTGATAGAAATTCTTACATGTAAAAGTAAGTATAAACACATAATTTAATTATAAACATACACAATATATATTTTATCTCATTTCTTGTATTTTTTTAGTACTAAAACCAGCAATAGACTTAATAACCAATCCAGACTATATAAATCAAAAGATTTTATCATATATTGATCGACAGCAACTTGCAGAAGCAATGCACAGGAAAACATATGAGTATGCGGAATCGTTTGAAGATTTCATTCGTATGATTAAAAGTTCTAAAGATTTGGAAGTTCTTAAACATATAAGATATAATATTGTTACGGAAATTATGCAAGCTACTACAATCCAAAATGTTAAAAGAGCACAAGGTTTAGATCCAGACAATAATACATTTCGAAAATCTGATGCCATCCAAGCTCGAAAATTCAAGAGGTACATCAGTCAACTAACATATGCTAAAAATACATGTGAATGTCACATGCAATCATTAGGATGGAATGGATATCCTGCTCAGGTTACAAAAATATTTTTGTTTAATAAATAACAATAACATAAATAATAATTATTGTCAACATTGTATAGGCTAATGATGTTACTGATGCAACAATAATTGCAGAAGATAAACTGTTACCATTACAACATATTTTATACAATGTGATAGGTCGACGATACCTTTCACAGTTTCTTGAACAAGTGGCTAGTCAAGGCTTGATTGGGTATTGGGCAGCTGTACAAGAATTACGCAATGCAGATAAATCCAATTGGCATCAATTGGGTGCTGAAATTTTTTACACTTATATTACATCTCCCACTGCTGAAATAAAAGTTGATAGAGGTATTCGCAAAAAAATGGAAAGCTTTTTGCTAGGTGATATAGGGCCTAATGTATTTTACGAAGTTCAAGATAGCGTTGTTAAAACTTTGGAAGAAAAATATTACCCATCATTTGTGGTTAGTGAACAGTACAAAAATATGCAAGAAGCATTGCTTAATGAAAGAACAGATGGTTAGTGTAAGGTTTTTAGTATCAAAGTGTAATAATTTCATGATTTTATCCGAATATATGTTTAATATATCCTTACTCATATAACATTAATTTTTAGATTTAGTAGAAGATCGTCGCGTGGGAAGTGGAACTTTATCCGAAAATATATCTTTGCTTGTTGGAGAGCATTCAAACTATGCTCGTAGTAAGTTGGATCAACTACAAGAGAAATTAAATAACAAAATGCAGGCATTGCAAGCACTAAAATCTTCGTTAAAACCAGAAAGCAAAGTTTTACATTTTTTGGCTAAAGAAGTTGAATGGCTGCAAAATGAGAAAAGGCAACTAGAAGCACATTTAACGCATACAGAAATGTGGGCGGAACATTTAGGTCATTGGAGAGCAGAAGTACAAAGTGCAGAAGTAAATGAAATTTCAATCATAATAATTTAAAAAATTTGTCTTACTTTGATCAAATTTCATTGAAAATATTACTTTAAAACAGGTACCAGATAATGGGGAATCTCCGCAATTTGTTCTGGTTGTTCATATGGTAGAAAATGAAGATAGCAATGAGAGTATATGTAGTGGTTGGGTTGTCTTACGAAAATTACAAGATTTTCAAGATCTTCACCGAAAACTTCGTCAACTTTGTTCTAACGTAAAAAATTTAGATTTACCATCCCAACCTTTAAAGTTTTTTGGAAAATCTGATAAAAATACCTTGGACAAAGCTAAAACGCAAATACAAAAATATTTAAATGTAAAATTCTTATATTATATTAATTAAGTTGTGTTGCTTAACTTGAACGTCTCAAATATTATATTTAATTTACTTAGTTTGTTTTAGAAGATGAAAAGCTGAATCAAAGCGAAGCTTTATATACATTCCTTAGTCCGAGCTCGGAACATTTGAAATATGCTCCCCCTTCTCCAAAAAAATCTCGATTTTCGTTATCAACTTTGTTCAAAACGTAGGTAGTTATTTTACTTAATAATAATTATAAGTTTGTAAGGCATTTACCTTAACAAATTAATTTTAGATCTACCAATAGTAGCGAACTTCGTGATAAGGAGGACGAAGAAGATTACTCACTGTTGTTAGATGATAGCGATACTGCTCGGACAACTACAGATGGATTGATGAGTGTTAATAGAGATGCAATAGCAGAACCTCTTTACACGCTCTTAGGTGAAATTTTCGATCTACGGGGAGTATTTCGATGGCTTCGACGTTCATTAATTACTTTCGTACAAATTACTTACGGTAGAACTATAAACAGGTATAATATCAATAAAATCTTTTTTATGATACATTACAATATTAAAAACATTCTTTCAATAGTAAAAAGATAACATGTAATAAATGTAATCGTTAGACAAATCAGAGATACTATTGCATGGGTATTCTCAGAACCAATGCTTCATTATTATATACAATTATTTACCAAATCATGGTGGCCAAACGGTCATTTGGTGTCCGGGACAGTACTTCGTACAGATGAAGAAAAATTAAAAACTCGGGGTGAAGCTCGGAGACAGTTTTTAAATAACATACCTGAAGTTTTAACAAATTTAGTAGGAGCACAGAGTGCTCAGCGTGGTGCAATCAAAATCTTTGATTCCTTACAGAACGTGAATTTAAACAAACAATTATTTTATGTAAGTTATTTTTACATAAAAAATTTTTATAAGTTACATTCTCTTAATTAAATACTTAAATTTCTCGTTGCAGGATATGTTTGAAGTTGTAATGTATGAAGTATTTCCAGAATTTAAACGAGCACAATAAACTTCTGAATATGATAAGCTTTGTTTATAGCATACAATTTTTTACATGATTTAGTTAACCATTCCGTGCATTATGTATGATTACATAAAGAATTATGTAAATTACATATGATTAATTTAATTGGAATAAGTTTTTTGTCTATATAATGTAATGTGAAAACATAGTATGTGTAAGTATCAATA